GCCTAGTACAAAATTCATGCTTCCCGTGCTGAATTTGCCCTATGATATAACCCAATGCTGTATTAATGAAAGAAGCATTTCTTTTCATTATTTATTATTTTCATATTGATGAAAGAGTTTCTAAAAAGTGTGCAGAGAATAGCCACAAAGATGATTAGGGAACTGGAGGCTAAAATGTAGGATGAACGGTTGCAGGAATTGGATATGTCTCGTTTAATGAAAACAAGGATCAGGAGTCACATGATAACAGTATTCCAGGATTTGAGAGGCTGCCACAAAGAAGGGCTGGGGTAAACCTATTCTCCAAAGCACCTGAAGGCACAACAAGAAGCAACAGATAGAAACTAATCAGGTTGTTCACCAGAGCAGCAGAGGAAAGGACGAGAAACAGTGGTTGGAAAATGATCCAGGAGAGAAGCAACCTAGAAATAAGGAGAAACTTCCTAACAGTGAGGACAATCAACCAATGGAACAGCTGGCCTCCAGAAATCGTGGGGGCTCCATCACTGGAAGTTTTTAAAAAGAGACTGGACATTCACCTGTCTGAGACAGTATAGGTTCTCCTGCTTGAGCAGGGGGGGGGGTGGACTAGAAGACCTCCAAGGTCCTTATTCTATTCTATTCTATTCTATTCTATTCTATTCTATTCTATTCTATTCTATTCTATTCCATTCCATATTCCTATTCCGTTCCATATTCCTATTCTATTCTATTCTATTCCATTCCATTCCACATTTTCTATTCTATTCTATTCTATTCTATTCTATTCTATTCTATTCTATTCTATTCTATTCTATTCTATTCTATTCTATTCTATTCTATTCTAGTCCATTCCATTCCACATTTTCTATTCTATTCTATTCTATTCTATTCTATTCTATTCTATTCTATTCTAATCAAGGAGAGAAGCCACCTAGAACTAAGGAGAAACTTCCTAACAATTAACCAGTGGAACAGCTTGCCACCAGGAGTTGTGGGTGCTCCATCACTGGAGGTTTTTAAGCCACTCATCTGAAATGGTAGGCTTCAGCAAGCGGGTTGGACTAGAAGACCTCCAAAGTACCTTCCGGTCCCAGAATTCAGTGATCCTTTGAGAGCCCACTTTCCCACAAATCCACCGGTTACTCACTCACATGCAGTTTGTGCTTTTGTGAAGGCAGCCCAGACCAGCAACAGAAGAGCCAACAACTTCATTGTGGATCAGCCTCTAGAGAAAAATGTGAATTAATCTATCTGTGAATTAATAGCAGAGGTATTTAAGAATCTGTGCAGAGGTAAAACTGAAAATGAAGATGCTACTGGCACTGTTTGATTGTCGTGGCGAAACAAGCTTTGTGACTAATCCCTCTTCTTGCCAACTTCCGCGAACAGAGCCCTGTGGTTTTCAAATTCTGCCCAGCAGCAATTGTTTTTAAATGGTTTTAAGTTGGGAAATACATCCTTCAGATTTGATGGAGGGATTGGGCTTGAATGATTTTGCCGCAGGAGTTCTGAGAAAAATATTAAGATCATTTCTGGCAAATTATCAAAACTCTGATTTGATGGGCAATTTAGGGCTGGTTGAAACATGGAATCAGAACGATGGCAGCTCTTACCTACTTTTCTGAAGAACAGAGCCTTTTTTAAAGAATAAATAGGATTTAGATCTCAAAGTACTTGGCCACTCAGCTTTTTAAGGTAGATTTATTCTCCAAGATCTTTTGGGATCATAATCTTGTGAATTTCATTTATAAAAGGAAATTGTATTCTTTTAGATCGGGAGTCTCCAAACGTGGCAACTTAAATACTTGTGCATTTTGGCTGGGGAATTCTGGGAGTTGAAGTCCACAAGTCCTAAAGACTCCTGTCTATGGAGATTCTCAGTCATCCAGGTCATGGTTGTCCAAAGGTGCTTTTTTTTCCCATGCTGGACCTCTGCCTGACCACTACCTATTTTAAATAGAGTGAAGATTTCTAACAGACAAAAACACGGCTGCCCTGTGTCCCCCATTGTGGCCAATCTCTACATCAGCGGTTCTCAACCTATGGGTCGCGACCCTATTTGGGGTCGATCGACCACTTTTCGGGGGTCGCCAAAGGCGGCGATCTGCCATTTTGTCCCCTCCGGGGGCGGCGCTGCGCATGCGCGCCGCGCATGGGGGCGGCGCTGCACCTCTGGGGTGCCGCTGCGCATGCACGCCACGCATGGGGGTGGCGGGCGCCTCCGGGGCGTCGCTGCGCATGCGCGTCGTGCGCTGGGGCCCCGCCCCCATGCACACCGTGCCACGCATGTGCATAACGTTTGTGTGACGGGGGTCGCCATCACACAAACGTTGAGAACCGCTGCTCTACATGGAAGAGGTAGTCCTCGACTTATGACCGGTTGGGGGTTGCGGCATTAAAAAGGTTGAGAACCACTGCTGTAGGGTCTTCTGCTTGTGGACTAGAAGACTTCCAAGGTCTCTTCCAACCCTGTTATGCTATGTTCTTTATTAGAAGTTAATTTTATACGACATACTAGAGAACTTGAAAGAGAAGAAACAAAAGCAAGAGTTTCCTAAACATTTTGACAGAGTGACACAGGGTCCCCTTCACTGGATGGGAATCAGAGGCAAAAGGGTTGGTCTAAGTGGCCTCAAGGATCTTTCCAACTCTGGGGCTGCATTCTTACCACTTGCTTAATCTGATGACTGAAATCAGTTCAGTTCTGGGATTGTACAATGCAACGAGCAACACACTAACCAAACCTCACCGTGTGTTAAATCAGAAAAAAAAAACCTTAATGATGGTTAATATTAAGAAAATTATGAATGCTGGGTGTAAACTGGTCTTTGCCTGTTGGGTTGAGCCTGCTGTGGGAACACAGGCTATAACCCCCATTTAACAAATGTCTCAATTTTTCCACTAAATAAAAAAGCCACTCCAGTCTAGTACTTCGTGTTGCAGAATCCATGCTCGGTTCCTTTTCCATCTGCACCCCAACATTGGACCCCCATTTTGCTTCCTGGCTAAATTTCTGACTTACCTGACGGATCTCCAGCGTTTCTTTGACGTCTGATAATGCACTGAGCACAGGTTTGTGTTAGCTGGATGAGGAAGATTGCTTTGCCTGAAGACAGCAGGAAACTGAAGTCAGCCTGGCCTTCTTGCTCAACTTTATTAAGTGGTTCAATTTCGAAAGTCACCCCCCCCCACCACACAAGGAAGTGAAAAGCGGGAAATCCTGGAATGAGGAGGGGCTGCTATTTGCACAAAGCAGGTGAAACGGTTTCAGGAATAGGGCTGGCCGATAGAGAAGTCAATAAATATGATAATAATCTTAGCACACTCTGAGCTTGGTGGTTTCCTTGCAGATGTTGCATTACCTGATTAGACAACATCTTCAGTGCGAGAAGGGAGGGGGCTGCTGAGAGGAGGAGGAGGAGGAGGAGGAGGAGGAGGAGGAAGACAACAACCGTGGGGTCTTTGGTCCTTGGTGCTCTCTGAGCTTGGTTTTCTTGCAGACATTTCATGACTCAATTAGATAATATCATCAATGCTAGAAGTGAGGAGGGGGGTTGCAGAGAGGCAGAGCAGGAGGACTGTGAAATCCTTGATATTCTCCGAGCTTTTATGATTTTCTTGCAGACATTTCATGACCCAGCTAGGTAACATCATCAGTGCTAAAAGGGAGTGAGTGTGAAGACTGAAGTGGGGGAGAATGAGGAGGGGGAGGCGTATGACATCAACAATTACGACCATAGAGTCCTTGGTGCTCTCTGAGCTTGGTTATTTTCTTACAGACGTTTCTTTACTCAACTAGGTAACATAATCATAATAATAATATTAAAGTTGGAAGGGACCTTGAAGGTCATCTAGTCCAACCCCCTGCTCAGGCAGGAAACCCTATACCAGTGGTGGTGAACCTATGGCACAGGTGCCAGAGGCGGCACTCGGAGCTCTCTTTGTGGGCACACGTGCCGTTGCCCCAGCCTCGCTTCCCCCCATGACCCCCTCCTTTCCAGCAGTCCCGCTGGTCTCTAAAAGCTTCGCCATCAATGCTGTATACCATTTCTGACAAATGGCTGTCCAGTCTCTTCTTAAAAACTTCCAGTATTGGAGCATTCACCGCTTCTGGAGGCAGGTTGTTCTGTCAGGAAGTTTCTCCTTAGTTTTAGATCAGTGGTTCTCAACCTGTGGGTCGGGACCCCATTTGGGGTCGAACGACCATTTCACGGGGGTCGCCAAACAAGGCTGTCCGCCATTTTTCCCCCCTTTTCTTTGGCCACTCCCCTGGCACCCAGTGATGTATAAGTGGTTGGGGGTCACCACAACATGGGGAACTGTATTATGGGGTCGCGGCATTAGAAAGGTTGAGAACCACTGTTCTAGATTGTTTCTCTCCTTGATCAGTTTCCACCCATTGCTTCTTGTCCTGCCTTCAGGTGCTTTGGAAAATAGCTTGATTCCCTCTTCTTTATGGCAGCCCCTGAGATATTGGAACACTGCTATCATGTCCCCCCTCGTCCTTCTCTTCATTAAACTAGACATACCCAATTCCAACACCGTTCCTTATATGTTTTAGCTTCCATTCCTCTGATCATCTTTGTTGCTCTTCTCTGTACTCTTTCTAGAGTCTCAACATCTTTTTTACATCATGGTGACCAAAACTGGATGCAGTATTCCAAGTGTGGCCTTACCAAGGCATTTTAAAGTGGTATCAACACTTCATGTGATCTTGATTCTATCCCTCTGTTAATGCAGCCTAGAACTGTGTTGGCCTTTTTGGCAGCTTCAGCACACTGCTGGCTCATATTTAGGTGATTGTCCACTAGGACTCCGAGGTCCCTCTCACAGTTACTACTATTGAGCAAGGTACCCCCTATACTATACCTTTGTATGAGTAAGTCACATATTGCACAAAGACATTTCATAAGCATGGCTGGCTGGCGAATTCTAGGAGTCAAAGTCCACCTGTCTTACAGTTGACAAGGTTGAGAAACAGACAACAATGGACAACAGAGTAAGGCACCAGGAATGAATCAGTTTGTGAGAGGGTTACTCCTGATTTACTCTCTTAAGCAACAACCCTGGTTTGAAAGAACATTGGAGAAGATAAAAGTGTAGCTACTTTTCTAGAACTTCATAGTGTCCACCTTGGATGTGAAGCTCTCTGGAAACCCCTTAAGAATGGCCCTGGTTCTCCAAGACGTTTGACACAGATGTCCCAGGCTCACTGGTGCCCTTATGGCTCATAAACACTTTGACCAGAAGCCTGTGGGCATCAGTTGCCACATCCTCCACAAAAGTTTTCAGCATGCTGTAGACCACCGCAAATGACAAGCCTACCGAGGCCATGGGCACAAGCTGCTTTGGTAGGTTGAGTGCTCTGCTGGCCGCTTGGACAAGCAATTCCACCACAACTGCTTTAGTGACTGCAGGAGCCAGTGGAGACCTGATTAGGGCCTTCAGCTGTTCAATGGGTTGGTCTACATGTTCAGCGGTCCTCCTTAGGGAGTCCTCTTCCAAGCCAAAGCTAATGCAATAACCTTGCATGGTTCTGACCAGCAGGTCCACATTGCACGCCACCGAAATATCTGAGATAGTTTCAGTCTGGATCCCACAGGCCACCACAGCCACCAACCACAAGTGTTCCAGCATCATGTCCTTCTTCTTCTCCAAGATGCGATGGGAGATGTTGGGGGTGGCAAGGAGGAACGAGTGGCTCTTCGGTAGATCCAGGTTCTTCTCCAGAGTCTCTTCCAGAAGATAGAAGTCGTACTTGTTGAGTAAAAGGCTGGAAATAAGGAAGATCTTGGGAGATTTCACTTTCTCAGCTTGAAGGTCTTGTAGGCAGTCTTCCCGGATCTTCTGCAGGGTGACCAGCTCATTGAAGCTAGATGGGTTGCTCTGACGGATGGATTCCAGATCTGCCTCCACTTTGGACCGGACAAAATAGTATCCTTTGCCAGTTTTTTTGACATAATAAGCCAGCTTAGCATGGAAGGACCTGAAGTGCTGAGAAGCAATAATTAAAAAGAAGTCATAGGAGGCCAGATCCATGTTCTCCACATAACGCTTGGCACTGAAACCTGGATTCCCAATATCTGGCAGATCCCACAGGATTACTTTGGGGTACTTTGGATGCGGATAAGCCACAGGAGTTTTATTGGCCTCCATCTTTCCAGGAGAAGCCGCTCCTTCATCTTCCGCACAGAGGCCCCGAAAAGTGTTGATGAAGATTGCCCGGTCTTCTCCTGATTCTCCAACGACAGCCACATTTAAACTGATGTTCTCCAGTGAGGAAAAAGCGTCCTGGAGGCGTTTGGTCAGCTGATCAAAACTCCCCGTCTTAAAAGCAGCCTTCAGGTCCTCAATTTGCTTTTCAGTTAGAGCAATTTTATCATCCACTTTTTGGGCCATGGGGTCAACAGCTTAACTTTTCTGGTCAGCCTGGGGAGGAAGATCTACAGAACCAAGCGAAGAACATTGCGTTAGTGGAAGTTATGTGCTTGCATACATATATTTTTACTTATAAGGGATGTAAATTTAGGAAATTTAGGAAAGGACACAGAGGCTTTGAAAGAGGTCAGGTGTCTTCCAGGTGCTACTGCCAGTAGGGACAAGAAGCGTATTTCTAAAATAATCAAGAATGGCAGCAAGGACTTGGATGTGGAGGCTATTGTACATCTTGGCACTAATGATCTGTCCCAAAAAGATGTACTCTCTGTGCAGAATGATTTCCAGAGCTTGGGGAAGGAACTTAGCAGAATAGGCTGTAGGCTTACTTTCTCAGAGGTTTTACCAGTGTATAAGGAGCAAAACGGAAAAGGCCAGCGCATAGCACAATTCAATATGTGGCTAAAGGAGTGGTGTAAAGGGGAAGGCTTTGGATATATTAGTCACGATGTCAGTAGCTGGTCCAATCAAAAGATGTACAAAAGAGATGGTTTGCATCCATCAAAAAAAGGGACTGAGTTACTCAGCTATAAATTCACAGATTTTCTGGAGGGAAATTTAAACTAAACAGTGGGGACAGGGAGTTAATTGATACGGAACAACCCTGTCCCCGGCAATTTAAAAACTATAGGACTATCAGTGCATGTAGCACAGATGTGTGTGTGGACAAGAATACCAACCTTGCTACCAATCAAAATGAAGCCTCTAATAGCGAGTGCCATATAAAGTGCACTAACCAAATAGGTGGTAAGACAATAGGGGAACTCAGGCACCACACAGGTTATGTAGAAAGGAAACACAGGGCCACCCACAAAGGACTCAAATGTTTATACACCAATGCACAAAGTATGAACAGCAAACAGGGTGAACTAGAAATTCAGGTTAATGAGGGCAGATACGATATTGTTGCCATTACGGAAACATGGTGGGATGAAACTCACACATGGAACACACAGCTAGAGGGATTTAAATTATTTAAAAGAAACAGACCAAATAAAAGAGGAGGTAGAGTTGCTCTCTATATAAGAAATAACTACATCTCCACAGAAATAGAGCACAACAATGATGAAAACTGTCTTGAATGCATTTGGGTCAATATAAAAGGGGCGGGGGGGGGGGAATGACATTGCCATAGGTGTATACTATAGGCCACCCAACCAAACAGAGGAAATAGATGAACTTTTTGTTAGTTAGCTAACTAAGGTATGTAGGAAGCACATCACAATAGTAATGGGGGAGTTTAACTACCCTGACATCAACTGGGAGACAAACTCTGCACCAAGTGGAAGATCAAACAGATTCCTGACAAACCTAGCAGACAACTTTGTCTCCCAAAATGTAGAGAAGGGAACTAGGGGATTAGCCATATTGGATCTAATTCTCACTAACAGAGATGAAATGATAGAAGGTGTTGAAGCCACAGGAACCTTGGGAGGAAGTGATCATGCAATATTGGAATTCAACATTATGGAAGCACAAGCAATAGAACACAGTCAAACTAGAGTCTTGGATTTCAAGAGAGCTAATTTCAATAAACTTAGAGAGGGTTTGGGAAGGATTCCATGGATGAGAATCCTCCAGGGCAAAACAACTCAAGAAGCTTGGGAAATTTTGAAAAGTGAGATAATAAAAGCCCAGTCTTGCACAATACCAACAAAGAAGAAAAATAACAGCTCTCAAAAGAAACCAGCATGGCTGCATAAAGATAACTCTCTGACAAATTGAAAGATAAAAAGGACAAGTATAGAAAGTGGAAAGAGGGATACATAACTAAGTCAGAATATCAGCAAATAGCCCGAGCCTGCAAAAATGAAGTGAGGAAAACTAAGGCTCAAAATGAACTAAGGCTTGCAAAGTCAAAAATAACAACAAAAAAAATCTTCTTTCAGCATGTAAAAAAAAAAAAAAGTGAAAAAAGTGATTGGTACATTAGTAGGGGAAAGTGTCAAGAAGGTGACAAGCAACAGGGACAAAGCAGAAATATTTAACTCATTTTTTGCATCTGTCTTTACACAAAAGGAATAAACAGACCAACCTATGAAAAATAGTGCCATAAAAAACAAAATAGAAATACAAGTTAAGATAGGCAAGAAAATGGTAAGTGAGCACCTGTCCAGCCTAGACGAGTTCAAATCGCCAGGACCAGATGGATTACACCCCAAGGTTCTAAAGGAACTGGCAGATGTGATCTCAGAACCACTGAACTATATTTTTCAAAGACCCTGGAGCACTGGGGAACTACCAGAGGACTGGAAAAGCGCTGATGTAGTTCCCATCTCCAAAAAAGGGGGAAAAATGGATCCAGGAAATTACAGACCTATCAGCCTGATCTCAATACCCGGGAAGATCTTGGAAAAGATAATCAAGCAATGAATCAGCGAACACCTACAGGCAAACCAAGTCATTACCAAAAGCCAACATGGGTTTGTTAAAAATGCATCATGCCAAACAAATCTTATTGCATTCTTTGACCAAGTGATAAAATTATTGGACCAGAGGAATACTGTGGATATAATTTACTTGGACCACAACCTACTATTTGATAAGATAGGATGGTCATGTGGTTCCCCCTTTTGTGACCTTTTGACAATGGAGAAGCCAGATTCTCTTAACAACCTTGTGACTAATTTAACAACTGCAGTGATTTCACTTAACCACAGTGGCAAGGAAGGTCGTAAAATGGGGCAAAACTCCCTTAACAACTGTCTCGCTTACCAAAAAAAAAAAAACCAACCTTTTGGGCTCAGTTGTGGTTGTAAATTGAGGATTCCCTGTATTTCCTTTCCTTTTCCCCACCTTTCGCTACAATCTTTTATCACCGTCTTTCCGGATGGCACCTGGCCCGGGACCCCAAGAATCGGTGAGTGGGGTGCCACGTGGCCCCCATGCTTGTGAAGTCCTACGAAGTTCAGCTGATGTCCCAGCAATTTCCCTTGACCGAAGTGAGTGTTAGCTTGCTCCTAAGCAGCTGCCATATTCACCGAGTGCCAGCTGACCCAGTGTGAGGTCAGCAATGGAACCACCAGCAGGAAAAAAAGAAGTCAGCTGAAGTCATGGGAAAGATTTGCATATTTTATAAGCAAGAAGCACAGCAGGCATCTGGAAGGAAAACAAAACCATCTCTTTACAGGTGTGCTCCGAGTGTCAGAATCCAATTATATTTCATCTCTAGTTATCAACTATAGAAAACCCCATTTCTGCCTTCCCTGGATTCTGCCATATGGTGAAGGGAAGGGGGTGAACAAAGGGGCTTTATGGCCCTCACTTCCTTCAGTACACTTCAAAGGGACTGGATGTGGGTATCACCAAAAGGACTAACCATAACAATATGGCCATCGCCTTTCATCTACTACTCTCTGAAGTCTCCATCCAGTCGGCAGTAAGGAAAAGGGGGTGGGAGTGTAATGCCTGAGACTGTCGCTGGAAGAAGGGGGGTGATTGGGTGGGGCTACTGGGGAACCCCTTAAAACCTTGAATGGGAGAGCTTGGACCCCAAGTCCTGTCTAGAACGCCTGCAACCATTTTCTCTTAATAAAGGATGCCTGTTGGAAGAACTATTCCAAGAGTTCTGTCTTCTTAAGATGCAAAGTGGGGTGGGTCCTTACACCGAGTTCATATTATGTATTACTTACCTCCCAAAGGTGGGGTTTTTTTCCATGAGGCAACTGCACTTTCTTGATTTTCTTTGAAGACATTTTGTTTCTTATCCAAGAAGCGTCTTCAGTTGATGAGAAGCGAAACGTGAACTAGAATAGAATAGAGCTGGAAGGGACCTTGGAGGTCTTCTAGTCCAGCCCCCTGCTCAAGCAGGAGACCTATACCATCTCAGATAAATTGCTGTCCAGTCTCTTCTTAAAAATCTCCAGTGATGGAGTGCCCACGATTTCTGGTGGCAAGCTGTTCCACTGGTTAATTGTCTTCACTGTCAGGAAGTTTCTCCTTAATTCCAGGCTGCTTCTCTCTTTGGTCAGTTTCCAACCATTGTTTCTTGTCCTTCTTCTTGATGCTTTGGAGAATAAGTTGACCCCCCCCCCTCTTCTTTGTGGCAGCCCCTCAGATACTGGAAGACTGCTATCATGTCGCCCCTGTTTCTTCTTTTCTTTAGACTAGCCAAGCCCAAGTCCTGCAGCCGTTCTTCGTATGTTTTAGTCTCAAAGAAACGTCTTCAAAGAAAAACAAGAAAGTCCAGTTGCGTTGTGGAAAAAAAAGCACCGTTGGGACAACCAGGACCTGGATGGCTGAGAACCTCCAGAGACTCGTATTGCTTACATGTTGTAACATTATAAAACCATATTTTGAAAAACAAAACAAAAAAAGAACAGAGGGGCACGGAATGTTTCTCACCAAAGACTGCCCAGTATGCCCAAAGTTAAAAACAAACAAACAAACAAGTGGGATCCAAAATGACAGTCGTTTCTCTGAAAACGTGCAAGCCGTCCTCAACTTACAACAGTTTATTAAGGGACCATCCAAAGTTACAACGGCAATGAAAAAAAAGAACTTACAGCTGTTTTTCACACTTAAGACCATTTCAACCTCCCTAAGGTCACGTGATCAAAAGTCAGACGCCTGGCAAGTGGTTCATAGTTACGACGGCTGCAGCATCCCGAGGTCACGTGATCTGCTTTTGCGACCTTCTGACCAGCAAAGACAATTCACTTAACAACTGTGTGACTAACTGAACAATGGCCATGATTCACTTAACGACTGTGGCAAGAAAAGTCGTGAAATGGGACAAAACTCACTTAACAAATGTTTCCCTTAGCAACAGAAATGTTGGGCTCAATTGCCGTCCTCGTAACTTGAGGACAACCTGCATAGGGTCTTCTCCTGCTCGTGCAGGGGGTTGGGCTAGATGACCTCTGAGGTCTCTTCCATCTCTGTTATTCTATGTTAAAGCCTGTTCAGGAGAAAACCAGCAAAGAAATTCTTACGGTCTGCACTGATCTTATTCAGAGCAATGAAAAAATAATGACTTTCTCCTTTTGTGCAAAGGAGAAGTGTGTGTGTGTGTGTGTGTGTTTGTGTGTTCCTTTGCACAATCACTTTCCAGTCTGTGCAACCTCTGTGGCTCCCCACCCTCTGCTTGAGAAGCTGCCAAACCACCGATCAATCTGGTGCTGCTCAGGACTGCAACAAGGAACACAACACGCAAAATGTTAATCAGCAGTCACAACCCTGGGGAGCCTCTCCCGGTGCACCTTGTGGCACTGTCTGCAGCGACAACAAATCCCCAGTGTCTGAATATGTGGAAGGGCAAGGCATGTTCCCAGCATTGCACTTCATTTGATTGCAGTTTCCAAACTGGCTCTTGGAAAATAACTATGAAACAGTATAAGGATAAAACATAGAGTCCTAGGGCTGGAAGGGACCTCAGAGGTGTTCTAGTCCAACCCCCTGCTCAAGCAGGAGATACTATTTCATATTATACTGTAGGTGGTTGTCCAGTCTCTTCTTGAAAACCTCCAGTGATGGAGCACCTACAACTTCTGGAGGGAAACTGTTCCTCGGGTTGATTGTTCTGTTAGGAAACTTCTCCTTAATTCTAGGTTGCTTCTCTCCTTGATTAGTTTCCATCCATTTTTTCTTCTCCTGCGTTGACCCTCCCTTTCTTTGTGGCAGCCCCTCAAATACTGGAATACTTTATCATGTCACCCCTGGTCCTTCTCTTTGTTAGACCAGACATTACGCAGTTTCTGCAACTGTTCTTCGTGTTTCAGCTTCCAGCCCCCTGATCATCTTAACGGTTCTTCTCTGCCCTCTTTCCAGAGTCTCAGCATCTTTTTCACATCGTGGTGACCAAAACTAGATGCAGAATTCCAAGTGTGGCCTTACCAAGGCCTTATAAAGTGGTATTAACTCTTCATGTGATCTTGATTCTATCCCTGTTGATGCAGTCTAGGATTGCACTGGCTTTTTTGGTGGCTGCTGCACACTGCTGGCTCACACTTCAGGGGCTGTCCACTAGCTGGATCCTTCTTATAGTTACTCCTGCTGAGCACCAGGTGCCGCCTATTCTGTACTTGCGCATTTGGTTTTTCCTGCCTAAGTGCAGCACCTCATGTTCGCCTCTGAATTGCATCTTGCTGGATAGAGCTCAGTGTTCAAGTCTGTCAAGATCCTTCTGGATCTTACATCTATCTTCTAAAATGTTGGCTGTTCCCTCTAGTTTGATGTCATCTGCAAATTTGATAATCCTCTTGTGCATTTCTAGGTGCTTATTTATCTTTTCCAGGATTTTCACAGGTCTTGAGGTCAAGCTGCTTGATGTATAGTATCCTGGATCCATTTTCCCCTCCTTTTTGTAGATCAGAACCACATCAGCTGTGGTTTCCCCACTGACTTTGCTTGCCAGAAGGTTGCAAAAGCTGATCACATGACCCCTGGAAACGGCAACCGTCATAAATGTGAGTCAGCTGTCAAGCATCTGAATGTAAATCATGTGACCATGGGGAGGCTGCAATGGTCATAAGTGTGAAAAATGGTCATAAGTCACCTTTTTTCAGCAACAGTCACTAAAGGAACTGTTGTTAAGTTGAGAATTACCTGTCCTTTGCCCATGGCTAAGATTAAGATAAATTCTGACACGGCAAATTCATTGAATCAAAAGTTTATTTCCAGTTCAGTGTCCAACATTAAAAAAAACCTTTAAGAATATCATAATATTAATAAAGGCAAACGTTAGTAAGATAGAGGCCTCGCTGGAGTAATTTTAGCACATCTAACTCTCTCCTTCAGCACACTTCCTTGATGGAGTGCATTGTGGCTATTTTATTTGCTACCCAATTAAATGCAAAATGCAGGACTTGATTTCTTTTTCAAATTCGGCCTCATGTGAAGGGTTCTAGATCCGTATTTTACAAACTTGGCAACTTTTAAGATGTGTGGACTTCAACTCCCAGAATTCCCCAGCCAGCACACATCTTAAAGTTGCCAAGGTATCAGAATCCAATTATATTTCATCTTTAGTTATCGACTATGGAAAACCCCATTTCTGCCCTCTCTGGATTCTGTCATACAATGAAGGGGAGGGTTTATGGCCCTCACTTCCTTCGGTACAAGTTCAAAGGGACTGAATGTGGATCTTACCAAGAGGACTGACCATAACAATGGGGCCATCAGCTTTCATCTACTCCCCTCTGAAGTCTCCCTTCCACCGGCAGTGAGGAAAAGGGGGGTGGAAATGTAACGCCTGGGATTGTCGCTGGAAAGGTGGTGGGGTGGGGCTGCTGGGAACCCCTTAAAACCTTGAACCGTAGGGCTTGGCCCCCAGGTCCTGTCTAGAATGCCTGCAACCATTTTCTCTTAACAAAGGATGCCTGTTGGAAGAAATATTCCAAGAGTTCTGTCTTCTTAAGATGTAAAGTGGGGTGGGTCCTTACACAAGGTTGCAAATGACTGTTTTTGCAGGACAGAAATTCAACTGGATCAACTTCCTAACCCCTGGCCTTAAATCCATAACTATCTCAAACTGAATTTGAGTGACATATTAGCTAAAAAAAAAATTAGGCACACTATGGAATTCAGTTGGGTTTTTTTTTTTTTTACAAGAACACAATGGTCAAGTTCCTAAACAATGAATAACCTGAAAGAAGGCTGGAAGCACAGCATTTTTAAATAGCTCCTGTTTAAAAAAATAAGTAAAGGCAAACTATTTTTTTGTACATATATATATTTATATATTAAAAAAAACAACCATTGAAAAAAAATCACACTTAATTACAAAGATCCATCGGGAACATTTACAGGAATCCTGAGCGGGGAACAGTTTAAAACACGAATCCTGTAAGCCACGATCAGACCAAGAAGGAAGATGTCTGTTTAAAGTCACCCTGAAAAAAATCAAGAGGAGAAAACAAATGCTTTGATATACCAGAAAATAATAAAGATAGAAAATGAATGTTGTAAATGTAATAGCAAAGAAGGGAGTTTTAAAATCATTTATAGTGGACGTGTGATAAAGCAAAGAAATATTAGAGTAGGATTCATATCTTAATACAGAAAATTCTTAAAGTGAATATAGAAAGAAAACCAGAGACTTTTCTCTTGCAGTTAATGGACAAAGACCTGGAAAAAAAATTGGAAATTTGATGTTATATATGTTTTTCGGCAGCAAGTGCTTTACGCACAAAAATGGAAGAATGTTTCAATTCCCACTATGGCTGAATGGCTACAGAAGCTGAGATGAGTTGTCAGAAATGGCTAAATTGACCATTTTGATTAAAGAAAAAAACAAAAATATTTTTATTTCTATGTGGAAACTGCTTCTGGACTGTGCTCGAGGTGGAAAAAAATGAAACTTTGATTTTGGGCTTTACCAATTAGAGAGATCTGTTGTTATTGAAATGACTAGTTTATATTGTTTTGTAAAAGTAAAAAGTTGAGGTTTGATGTTAATAATAATAATAATAATAATAATAAAGTTGGAAGGGACCTTGGAGGTCATCGAGTCCAACCCCCTGCTCAGGCAGGAACCCTACACCATTTCGGACAAATGGCTGTCCAATTTCTTCTTAAAAACTTCTAGTGTTGGAGCATTCACCGCTTCTGGAGGCAGGTTGTTCCACTGGTTAATTGTTCTAACTGTCAGGAAATTTCTCCTTAGTTCTAGGTTGCTTCTTTCCTTGATCAGTTTCCACCCGTTGCTTCTTGTCCTGCCTTCAGGTGCTTTGGAAAATAGCTTGACTCCCTCTTCTTTGGGGCAGTCCCTGAGATATTGGAAGACTGCTATCATGTCCCCCCCTCGTGTTCTCTTCGTTAAACTAGACATACCCAATTCCAGCAACCGTTCCTTATGTGTTTTAGCCTCCAGTCCCCTAATCATCTTTGTTGCTCTTCTCTGCACTCTTTCTAGAGTCTCAGCATCTTTTTTACATCGTGGTGACCAAAACTGGATGCAGTATTCCAAGTGTGGCCTTACCAAGGCATTGTAAAGTGGTATTAATACTTCGCGTGATCTTGATTCTATCCCTCTGTTAATGCAGCCTAGAACTGTGGTGGCTTTTTGAGTTGGAAGTCAATGCCTTCTTTTTCCTTTTTCCCCTTGATTTCCTCCACTTTTCTCTTCCCTAATTTCCCTATTTGTTTTTGTATTTTCTTTGTATGCTACATTATAAACTAATAAAAATTTATGCTAAGAAAACAAATATATCTTAGATGTTTGTCTATGCTCCAAATGGCATCTGACAAAGATGACCAAATTACCACAATCCCAACTGCACAGCTCAGTAATATTTAATTCTAAAAATAAATAGCTTGGTTCTCCCCAAATGTTCAAAGCATGCCTTTTATATGATTTGTTCAAGGCCTAAAGCGTTACAGGCAGTCCTCGACTTATGACTATTCATTTAGCGGCAGTTCAAAATTATGACGGTGTCAAAAATATAACACCTGGCCTGTTCTCGAAGTTACGACTGTCACACTACGTTATACAATCATGATCTGGGCACTTGGCAAGCAGCTGGCAGTGCCATGTGATCACGACTTGTCATCTTCCCAGCTGGCTTCTGACAAACAAAGTTAAATTCAAGAAGCTGGATTCACTTAATGACCACATGATTCAATTAACAACTGTGTGATTTGCCTAATGAGCACAGTACAAAATGATTGTAAATGGTCATGAGATGGCTGGCTTCAGGATCACGTTTATTTATTCATTAAATTTATACGCCGCCCATCGTGCATCACTTGGTGACTGAAATCCTGATCCCAATTTGTGGTTGTTAAATCGAGGACCATCTGCATTTCCATTGTCCAGAATAGTTTTTCTCTAAAAGTCTGCCTTAGTAGAAAGTATTTCTGGATAGTCACTTGGTTCCAATTCAGATATCTTCAGACACTTTAAAAACACAAAATTTCTAAGTTCTAAAACATATAATAATAATGGTAATGGTAATTGTAATGGTAATAATAATAATAGTAATAGTAATAATAATAATGGACCTTAGAGATCATCTAGTCCAACCCCCTGAAAACTGGGAATGCGAAGCCAAATATTATTATAAGCCCTCTGAGGCTGCAAAAAGCTTTGTCCACCACCCATTAAAACCAGAAGTCCAAAATCAGCCTTTGGTGACCCAAATTCCTGGGGAGAGAACCTGGTGAGTTTCTGCTTCTACTTACATCGCTTCGATTGGAAGGCTGGCTGTAAATGACCTTCTTACTGCCACTGCTGGAAAAGATCAGAGAAGGAGAAGATGAGTGGACTTCAACTCCCAGAATTCCCCAGCCATCCTTTACAATAGGTGGACTTCAGCTCCCAGAATTCCCCAGCCAGCATGCTTTAAAATAGGTGTTCTGCCACTCCCAGAATTCCCTGGCCAGCATGCTTTAAGAGGGGTGGGCATCAACTCCCAAATGTCTTCTCCAACTTGGGAGTTCAATGACATGCTGGAAATGGTCCATTGGAGGATTCTGGGAATTTACACCCATAATTCCCAGGGGCTCAAAGCTGGGGAACACTGGTTTATTGTTTGAATGTTGATTTTATTTATTTATTTATTTATGAGACTTATATACCGCTTTAAGTGCAAGCACTCTCTAAGCGGTGTACACCAGTAAGCAACGTATATACATATATTTACATTGCCCCCAACAATCTGGGTCCTCATTTTACCTACCCCGGAAGGATGGAAGGCTGAGTCAACCTTGAGCCGGTGAGATTTGAACCGCTGACCTGCTGAACACAGTCAGCTAAAGTGGCCTGCAGTACTACACTCTAATGGCTGCATCACCTCGGCTCATTATTTTGATTATTTTTGTTTCCTGACTTTTCATTTACTGTACAGGTAGTCCTAGAGTTACAACTATAATAAGGCCTGGAAAATTGGTCACTAAGCAGGAGACTCGTTAAGCGAGACATCATATATCCCAATGCGTGACCTTCCGTGCCCGCTTCTCCATTGACTTCACTGGTCACAAGCTGGCTGGGAAGGTCGCAAATGGTGATCACAGGACCCCTGGATGCTGCAACTGTCATAAATATAATTCCCCAAATGTTGATCAAGTGTCCATGGGGATGCTTCTAAGTGTGAGAACCAGTCACAGCTTCAAACAGTCACTAAGCAAACAGTCGTGACTTGAGGACTACCTGTACTTTGCTTTTTTAAATGAATTTGTGTCTCCCACTTTTCATCCGTGGACTAAATCCCATGAATCAGAGAGAAAGGGGCTGTGCCAGGATCAACTGTGCTCCTCCCGCACCCACCCCGAAAGGGGAATCTCACGGCAGGACAGCCGGTGGTTACGTGGCAAAGAAGGAAGAAATGGCTACTCACGTTGTTCTTTCTGAAAAAGAAGAAAAAAGACAAATAATCTGTTAGCCCAGAGGTTCCCAACCTTTGGGGCACCAGGGACCGATTCCGTGGAGAGAGGTTTTGCCACGGATCGGAGGGTGCGTGGTTTTGAATGCTGCCTGCATCCCGCGGGTGGGGCTTTGCTTATTTGTGCGGACCGGTTGCTGGCATGCTGCATGGCCCGGGGGTTGGGGACCCCTGCATTAGCTAAGAGAGGAGGTGATCATGTCTCTCTTACAGGGTTAGAAAGGATCAAAGTCCATCAATCCAACCACCAAAATTCAGTTCTGTTTGCTTTCTCTCCAACTGGATCAGCCCCCCAGGGACCCCGCATTTTCCAGCAAATTTGATACATTTAGGAAGAGTAGACTTCAGCTCCCAGAACTCCCCAGCCTGAATAGCTTCAAAGGAGTACAGGTAGTCCTCAACTTACGACCATGAAGTGGGCCCCAAATTTCCTTTGTTAAGTGAGACAGTTGAATTTTGCCCCATTTTATGACCTTTCCGGCCACAGTTGCTAAGCAACCTTCTCTGCTGATAAGCAAAGTGAATGAGGGAAGCCAGATACGCTTAATGACGATACACTCAACAACTGTGACAAAAGAGGTCCTAAAATTGGGTGCCACTTACTTAACAACCGCCTTGCTTGGCAGTGGAAATTCTGCTCCCAGCTGTGGTCGTACGCCGAGGACAACCGGCACGCCTCAATATTGGTTTTTGTGAGCTATCTGCAGGCTTGCTAAGACGATCTTGATGGCTACTAAACTCCATCAAGTTCCCAAATCTTAGCAAATTTGCTTTCTGGTCTTCATTCTCCTCTGATACCCCCTCAGCCTCAGAGGGCGGGAGTTAAATTAACAGTACTAGAAAACCCAAATAATAATAATAATAATAATAATAATAATAATAATAATAATAATAATAATTACATTTTTCCTGCTTGTTTGTGAAAACAAGAAAGATGCCACTGGCCACTTACTGTTGAAATAGCCCCGACTGTAAGCAAACCAAATCCCAAAAATGACCAGTCCCAGAATGATGAGGAGAACCACCACGCCCGCCACGATCCCACCCACGTTGAGTTCACCTGCAGAGCAATAAAAATGGATCAACCACAAGAAAGACTGAAGGTGTAACTCTCAAGACTGCCAGGATTTAGATGCTTCTACAAAGCAGAAAACCACCAGCAGGCTGTTGATCAGCGTTCATCCAATCTTGGCCCAACGATGGCCAATCAAATGGAATAAAATTAGCCCTCAGGAGCATCCTTTTTATGTCCTGCTCCCTTTTATGCGTTTATCTTTGAGCATTCCAGATAGAATCCCACTTAAAGCAGAAGTCGATTCGAAGAAAAGAAATATAGGTGGTCCTTGACTTACCACCACAACTGAGCTCACAGTTTCTGTCCCTAAGCAAGACGGTTGTTCAGTGAGGTTTGCCCCATTGTATCACTTTTCTTCCCACAGTGGTTAAGTGAAACACTACAGTTGTTTACTGTAGCAAAGATGGTTATGTGAATCTGGCTTCCCCTTTGACTTTTCTTGCCAGAAGGTCAGAAAAGGGGATCACGTGATCCTGGGACACTGCAACCGTCCTAAATATGAGTCCAGTTGCTACGCATCTAAATTTTATTGAAATTTTATTTTATTCGAAGAAGGTAAAAGCACTAAATGCCACAATATTTACCAAAGGGCAAAAGAATAAAAAAACGCAACAAAGATATGAAAATGAAAAAGTGTCTAAAGAAAAAGAAAAAAGACTAACAGATATACAGCGAACATCCTCCATAGTTTAATGCTGATTAATATAGTACAGCAACGTTAGTTTCCCACTCCTTGAGAAATAGGTCCAAAGAATTTTAAACTATTAAACTACTAAACCTATTTACAACTTATTAGCCTGTCATCTATAAACTATATTAATAACAAAATAGTTAATAGGAAAAACAATCATAATAAACATATTATATAAAAGTATAAAATTAATAAAATTGTGAACAATAATAAGAGAAAGACAAGATTCCAAAACCCTGTTAAGAAAATGTGCCATGGTTTCAATCCCAAATCACCCTAAATATTAACCCTAATTGGTCCCAGATCAAATATACAAGTTTATTTCTTTATACCATTTCTTATCAATTGCTGATTAATTAAATACAATGTCCAATCTCCCAATCCAATTTATCTTCCCTCCCAAAAAACCAGATAAGATCATCTATCAATTAGATGTATTAAGTTCATTTCCCACTCTCCTTCAAACCCCTTAAAAAATCCTATTTGCCACATACATCCAGAGAGTCCTCTGCTATTATATAAAAAGCAGTTTTAAGCTTCCAGAAGTTGTTATTGAGTCGATGCTAATATTTCTGAGTCTATATTTCTTTCCGGCCAATTTACAGCTGGGAAATCGCATTTCTTCTCAATATTTTTCACAGTGTTGCTTTATGCCTATGTTTCTTCCCAACGAATCTGCTACTTTGAGAACAAGTTCTTTTTGTGGGTTTAATACTTTAGTGTCTGATTTTTCAAAATGTTTTCCACGGCCTTTATTAGTTCATCAAATCTTTTAGAAAAAAATTCAGCTAAAGCTTGCATGTTGCTAGCCAGACTCTGCTTTCCCCCTTGAAGTCAGACTTCTACTTCTTTCCATGTAATCCAATATTTTGTTGCTCAAATCAGGGAGCAAGCAAAGAAAACAAAGAAGATATTTTCTTACTATTTTGATCCAAAAAGTTTTTGTAATCAAATACAAATCCAGAAGCATGTGCTTTGCTTCCATACAAAGCAGATGTTGATAAGAGCAGTCAAATAAATCAAAGAAGAAGAAAAAAAGGAAAAAACAAAAACAAAACAGAAAGAATCCAGCAGGGGTTGAAATAAATCAGCTTTCAGCCAGCCAATTAACCTTTAAAGATAAGAACAAAAAGAGAAGTTCAAAAAGTGAACTTAAAAAAACACAGGCATGCTTACAAAAATGTTCTGCTGATAGGAAAAGATGTAAACACCCTTTGATTTTCCAGCTGCTCCCATCGGGAGCTGCAATCTTCAAAATTCCCCCTCCCAGGTAGGTCTGCAACTATCCCAAAGTTGTTTTGGGTCACTCCTAAGTGCCCCCGTTCATTCAAATCCAGGGGGCAAAACTGCAAAACTACCAAATCTGGCAGCGAGCACAGAAGATCGTAAGAGAAAGAAAGTCACTCACTCTTCGGCAGCCACTTTGGAGAAGAGTCTCGCTAAGCATCTGAATTTTGATCAGGTGACTCTAGGGATGCTGCAACAGTCATTAAGTGTGAAAAATGGTCACAGGCCACTTTTTTCAGTGCTGCTGTAACTTCGAGCAGTCATTACATGAACTGTTGTGGAGGACTACCAGTATATATCAATAAAAATATATCAACTATAAGGATCCTGTTTATTCAGAGATACTTTAAAGCAGGGTTCCCCAACCCCGGTCTGTGGACCAATACTGGACCGCGGCATGCCTGCAACCAGTCCACACAAAGTCCCATCTGTGGATGCAGGCAGCACACAAAACCACGCAATCTCCGGTCCGCTTAATAATCTTTTTCCACAGAACCGGTCCCTGGTGCCCAACATGTTGGGGACCTCTGTTTTAAAGCAATGTGTTAAGACTGCTAACATCGGATGTTCTTGCTTGCCATGTATGAAGAAGCAAATCTGTCTTATTTAGCCTGTGTAGCACTTCTAGAGTTAAAGCAGATAATACTAGCCTAGTGGATGGGAAAATCTGCTAGTTAATCATAACAATGTTTGAGCACAGTGTTGCCAAGGTCAGTTGTAACTGGGAGGGGCACTTCACACTTCACATTAATTGGAGAATGTGATTGATGACTGTAAAATGAAGGAGTGAGTTATGCTTTGTTATGGGTGTTTGAGGAAGGGAAGATTCAGTTTTTGGCTTAACTTTGTTAGTGCCGAAGCTATGCAGAAAATAAAGGATTCTTTAAGGTGAATAAGCCTCAAAGTTCTTTGAAAAGCTGCTTCTTTTCGGAACCATGACACAATGTTTCTCACCCTTAGCAAGTTTAAGATGTCTGGACTCCCAACTCCTAGAATTCCCTAGCCAGCTCTGCTGATTGGGGAATTTTGGGAGTTGGAGTTCTGACATTTAAAAGCTGCTAAAGTTCACAAACACAACGTTGTTCTGTTGGAATATCACATCTGTTGCACGACGACAATGGAATTCAAATTCAACTGGTTCACTTTGGACCATATCACTACTCTGTAAAATTAGGAATGTCCACCAACCCCTTTGCATTGCATTGCAAAACACAATTGGATATCAAGGGTCAAAGAGATGGCAGAGCATGCCACCCCAAAGAGCTGGTGCCCGCAGGAGAGATGCCAAGCTGCTTACTTACTGGTTTCCATGTGAATCACCTCCGATCTCTGGGGGGGGCCCACCTTGTTCTCGGCTTCACAGGAATAGTCGCCCGTGTCCAGGGCCATGGCGGGCTCAAATGCCTTGAGGAAAGAGAAAAGGACCTCAATTCTCGATCAAGAACACACCTGTCTCCTCAACAGGTTAAGCCAGTAGTCATCCAAAATCTCTCTGGGATTCCTATTCTGCAAACATTCCTATTCTGCAATGGGTGTGTGGAAGAAAAACCACAATGGCACTGCTCAAATACGAGCAGTCCTTGCGTTAAGAATAGAATAGAATAGAATAGAATAGAATAGAATAGAATAGAATAGAATAGAACTCGCACGGTATTATAACGCCAGGGGGCTTCCACCGACTCTCCTGTTCCCCAAAACCAGGAATAGAAAAGGGGGAAGCATGAGGTATCTTAGTGGGTTGAGGAGGCCTTGGGGGCCTGTTCCATCACTAGCCCCCCGCACGTGGCCTTCCCCACCCGAAATACCTCACGGTGCGCTTAGCAAACGGCCTGTGTTTTAATGAACGAGGGAGTCATCTCATTCAAGGTACAAGATTCACTCCCACGAGTTTTCAAGTTAGGAGTGGAATGGGCAGGCTTCATTAAACTCAAGGACTGTTTTGACCCTCTGTCACTATAGGTTGGGTAGTTTAGTTTGTTTTTTGACTTTAGGATAACCCCTAAATCTGAACGAGCTGTCTATTAGAAGTTCTCAATCTTGCAATTTCTTCGGAACCGAAGATGCTCCTTGGATGAGAAGTGAAACATTTTCAAGAAAAAAACTAAGAAAGTCCAGTTGCCTTTGGGAAAAAGCACCTTTGGGACAGCCAAAGGACCCCCCCCCCCAAATCCTCCTCCATCTCTCTGCAACCCCCCCCCTTCTCCCCTTGTAGCACTGATGAGGGTATCTACTTGTGCTTCTCAATCTTGCAACTTTAAGGGGGTGGACTTCAACTCCCAGAATTCCCCAGCCAGCATGCTTCCAGATGGGTGGACTTCAACATGGCCGGCTGGGGAATTCTGGGAGTTGAAGTCCACCCACTTTAAAGTTGCAAGATTGAGAAGCACAAGTAGATACCTTCATCAGTAGGAGTCTGGACATATTAATGTTGCTAAGGTTGAGTGACCCCGGTTTATTGTCAAAGTATGGGAATCTGTTCTTCAAGTATGTTGAAGTTGCTACAGTTGTGAAAATATTTGATATTTAATAATCTTGACCACCACAGTCAACCACCACATCTGACTCTTGAGAATCTCCCAGATCTTAAAAGATATTTCAACAGTTATGGACATTCCTCTATATGAGGTTGTCAGGATCTGATAGTGAGACTGTGAATCTGTAAACATTCCTGCCCTTCCCGATATTCAGCTAGGAATGTAAGCCCATGAATGTAAGCCCCCCCACCTAACCCATACCAATTACCGGGTGGAAGCGAGGCATGCAACTTGCAGCCCCCCCCCCCCCCGATCAACACAGCTCAAAATCAGAAATGCAGGAACATACCAACACGCCTGTGTCCGAGTCGATTGTGTAGGACGAATTCTTGAAGATGGTGCTGGTTTTGGGATCCGGGGGCATCTGGACGTCATTCTTGAACCACTTGAAAGTCGGCCTGGGGTTGGCCTCGGTCTCCTCACATCTAAGGACCACCTTGTTTCCAATGGTCACCACTGAAGGAACGTGGGCGGTGGGCTTGGCGGCGGGCACTGCCGAAGAAGAGAAGGGCTCACAGTTTAGAATGCCAATTTGGGGAGTATGAGGTGCCACAAGTGCAAAATGGCTGCCGTGGGAAAGTTGTACAGGCAGTCCTCAACTTATGACAAAAAAGGTACTTACTCGTAGTTTCAAAGTTCCAATGTCCAGCCCTGTCCCCACCCACCCTCAGTCACATGACCTCAAATCAGCCAATTTGCAGTGCAGAGCCGAGGTGGCGCAGCAGTTAGGGTGCAGTACTGCAGGGCCACTTTAGCTGACTGTGTTCAGCAGGTCAGCGGTTCAAATCTCACCGGCTCAAGGTTGACTCAGCCTTCCATCCTTCCGGGGTAGGTAAAATGAGGACCCAGATTGTTGGGGGCAATGTAAATATATATATATGTAGGTCTTTGGTTGTTTGGGTTTTCTCCCGCGTAAAATTGGAAGTTTTACGTGGGAGAAAACCCGAACAACCAAAGACCTACATATAAATACCCGCGAAAACCTCAGAATATATATATATACATTGCTTACTGGTGTACGCCGCTTAGAGAGTGCTTGCACTTAAAGCGGTATATAAGTCTCACAAATAAATAAATAAATAAACAAACAAACAAACAAACAGTTTGTGGCAAAACCCGCCACATGGAAACACAATGATTTCAGTTAATTACCACGGCATTCACTCTACAATTGTCACGTTTGCTTAATGACTGCCACAAAAAAAAAAAGAATTGGGCCGTGTGATTGGCTTTAGAATAGAATGGAATGGAATAGAATAGAAGCTTGAAGGGGAGGACTTCAGCCCCCTGCTCAATGAATGTTAGGTGGACCCCCCTCTTCTTTGGGGCAGCCCCTCAAATACTGCAATATCATGTCCCCCCCCCCAGTCCTTCTTTCCACAAGACTACATTGACACAAGTCTTTAGTTTTCTTGCTAAAATGTTTGCCAGCCCCGTTTACGTTTTGCAGAGCTCAAACGATCCCTTCCTCCAACTCAAGAGGGCCTGGGCACCCCCCCCCCCCCGACTGAGAGTGGAGTCCCGACTTCTAGGCCCGGGGCGTCCTTAAGTGGAGCGGGTACCTTGCACAACCAGCTGCACCTGCGACTGTGAAAAAGAGTCTCCGAGGACTTCGCAAGTGTACAAGCCTGAGTCTTTGCGGGTCACCGACGTGAGGTGGATCTCATACGGGGTGAACGTGGCGCGATCCTTGTAGTTATCTGAAGAAAGGCACACAAGAGAAAGAAAAGAGTCAGAAAGAATCCCGCTATATCTGTATAAAGTGATTCTTATTCTCTTTAAGTTGCTCCCTCTTTGGGCGAGATGCCTCTGCTTGCTTGTGTACATAAATACAGGTAGTCCATTTAGTGGCCGTTTGAAGTTAAACATTTAATGAAAAACGTGATCTAGGACCATTTTTCACACTTATGATCATTGCAGCATCCCCCCAGTCACGTGATCAAAATCCAGACCCTCGGCAACTGACTCATACTTATGACGGCCGCAGTGTCTCCTGGGGTCACGTGATCCCCTTTTGCGACATTCTGACAAGCAAAGTCAATGGGGAAGCTAGATGCACTTAATGACCGTGTGACTAATTTAACAACTGCAGTGATTCACTGAGTAACCGTGCACAGTTGTAAAATGGGGCAAAACTCACTTAACAAATGTCTCACTAAGCGATGGAAATTTTGGGGTCCAACTGTGATCAGAAGTTGTGGATTACTGTATAGAGATATTAATCTACCTTTCCAGATTTGGGCCAGGCACATCATATCTGCCAGCGCTTGGCTGCTTAAAGATGAGTGGACCTCAACTCCCCGGCTGCAGAATTCTGGGAGTTGAAGCTCACACAACTTCAAGCTTCCCTGGTCGAGAAACACTATGACAACTTCTTCCCCAGACTGGCACCATCCGAATTTCTTGGATTAGGTCCCATAACCCACAGCCAGCACAGATTTTGGCCATTCTAACTCATTGGGAAGCACCCTGTTGCAAGGGGTTGTTCCAGACCAAAATCCCAACAAACATAGAGTCACACGGAGTTTGGAAAATAACAACAACAACAATAATAGAGTTGGAAGGGACCTTGGATGTCATCTAGTCCAACCTCCTGCTCAGGCAGGAAACCCTATACCATTTCAGACAAATGGCTGTCCAGTCTCTTCTTAAAAACTTCCAATGTTGGAGCAATCACAACTTCTGGAGGCAGGTTGTTCCACTGATTAATTGTTCGGACTATCAGGAAATTTCTCCTTAGTTCTAGATTGCTTCTCTCTTTGGTTAGTTTTACATCCATTGCTTCTTGTCCTGCTTTCAGGCGCTTTGGAGAATAGCTTGACTCCCTCTTCTTTGGGGCAGCCCCTGAGATATTGGAACACTGCTATCATGTCCTCCCTCGTCCTTCTCTTCATTAAACTAGACATACCCAATTCCAGCAACCGTTCCTTATATGTTTTGGCCTCCAGTCCCCTGATCCTCTTTGTTGCTCTTCTCTGTACTCTTTCTAGAGTCTCAACATCTTTTTTACATCATGGTGACCAAAACTGGATGCAGTATTCCAAGTGTGGCCTTACCAAGGCATTGTAAAGTGGTATTAATACTTCATGTGATCTTGATTCTATCCCTCTGTTAATGTAGCCTAGCACTGTGTTGGCTTTTTTGGCAGCTGCAGCACATGGCTGGCTCATATTTAAGGGATTGTCTACTAGGACTCCAAGATCCCTCTCACAGTTACTACTATTGAGCAAGGTACCCCTAGACTATACCTGTACATTTGGTTTTTCTTGCCTAAATGTAGAACCTTACTTTTTTCACCCTTGAATTTCATTTTGTTACATAGAGCCCCATGTTCAAGTCTGTCCAGATCCTCCTGTATCTTAAGCCTCTCTTCTGGAGTGTGGACCACTCAGTAATCACCCAGTCGGTCGGACTACCCACCTGTGAACTTGTTGCCATGGTAAAAGAGCAGGGTGATGCCATCTCTCTGGAACTTCCACTCCTGACGTGTCGGATTGGGTTGTGACTGTATGGCTTTGCAGGGCAGGCTCACCCCTGGGAAGAGAAAGAAGGCAGAAAAGTAAGATCTTGCACCAGGGCTGCCAAGCTAAATTAATATGGGCTGGGAGAAAGAACGCATAATATAGAATACAGACTTACAACAGTTTGTTTAGTCACCATTCAAAGTTACAAGAGCACTTAAAAAAGTGACTTATTATGATTTTCCCCATGGTCCCCACAGATCAAAATTCAGATGTTTGGCCACTGGCATGTACTTATGATGGTCAGTGTCCTGGGGTCACGTGATCCCCTTCTGCAACCTTCTGACAAGCAAAATCAATGGGGAAGGCAGATTCACTTAACAACCGGGTTACTAACTTAACAGCTGCAGCGATTCACTTAACAACTGTGGCAAGAAAGGTCGTGAAATGGGGCAAGACTGCCTTAACAACTGACCCCAGGACACTGCAACCATCATCAATACCTGCCAGTTGCCAAGTGTCTAAATTTTGATCCTGTGACCATGGGGATGCTGCAATGGTATGAAAAATGGTTATGAGTCGCTTTTTCAGTGATGCTGTAACTTGGAACGGTCACTAAATGAATAATAAATAAATAATTGACTCGTGAGTCAAGGACTGCTTGCATGTGTAAATGTGTTGTTAATTGGGCTGCAACAAGCAACTCTGGCTCTACCAATACAAACTTGTTCAGAACAATTTAGCCTGGCAAGGCTTATACAGGTAATGTCTTGGTTCTGATAGATCAGTGGCGACCCCCAACCGGTCGTAAGTCGAGGACTACTCAACTGGTCGTAAGTCGAGGACTACTCCACTAGTGCAGCACCGTTTGCAGAATGGGACTTTTGGTGGGCTCAGCAGGGCAGAGACAGCCTGGACAATTCCTATTGGCTTTGGAAAGCCAATAGAATTAGACTCTATTCAAGAGAGTCTATTCTATTGGCTTTCAAAAGCCAATAGAATAAAGGGAGTAGCACAGCTAAGGAAAAGGGGGGGAAAAAATGGTGGACTGCGTTGTTTGGCGACCCCCGTGAAATGGTCGTTGGACCCCAAATGGGGTCCCGACCCACAGGTTGAGAACCACTGTGATAGATGAAACCCATCAAAAGAACTTCAAGGCAAGAATTCTTTCTTAAAGAACATTTTATTCAGGAAACAAAGTATCGGCACTACGTAGCTGAACCCCAAAACTAAATTCCCTTGCCCTAGATACAAAGTAACAAATTGCAACTCCCACCCCAACAAGCAGTCATAAATCACATTCTCCAATTAGCCTGAAACACGGGCTCCTTCTCCAGCCCCCCAAAATGTTATCAATTCGTCCTTGGGTTCCCACAAAGCAGCGTTTATGATTATGGCTAGCTGAGTTCAAGCATTCACCCCCTTCTGCACCTGATCTCTAAATAGAAGGAAAAGCATGTTAAAAGCAAAAAGAGAAAATGGCTAAGCTTTTCATCAGTTGTCAGAGCGGGAACATCCAATGTTTACAGCGTTGACTTAGGAATATAACGGAGCCTGGAATTTGCACTTTAAGTCATGACAGTCGTAAGTAGAAGCAAACTCAAAAGTTATAGCTTTTTTTTGCAGCAGTTGTTAAAGTGAATGGGATGGTCGTTAAGCGAATCAATGTATTCTTACGGGCATTTTTTTGCTGGAAACCAGGAAAAACCATCAAAAATCTCAATCATATGACAACAGAATACTGTAACTGGCTGCAAAGGTGATCTCAGCACTCCGAATGCAGTCATGTGACCACAAAGGTCCATATGCAGCCGTCAGAACTACAGAACCGGGTCATAAGTATAGTTTTGTGGGGTCCACCGTAACTTCAAATGGCCGTTAAGCAACTGGTTGTTAAACGAGGATTGCTTGCAATTTAGCGTGTCGTACAAAACCAGGAACCACTGTTAAGTTAGCCAGGGTTGAGTGAAGCAAGGAAAACTGCTAAATCTTTCAACCCACCCCATGGTTGGAGCAGGAAAACTAGGGAACACCATCAGTGCTAGAAGGGAGGAGGAGGAGGGGGGGGGAGGAGAATGACTGTGGGGTCCTTGCTGCTCTCTGAGCTGGGCTGTTTACTTGCGATGTTTCATGCTCCAGCTAGGTGACATCATTACATAACTTGTTCCCTAGTTGGGTAATGAAATGTCGGCAAGAAAACAACGAAGTTCAGAGAGCACCCAGGACCCCTCCTTACTTATGACCATTGCAGCATCCCTGCACTCCTGTGACTGTGATTCAGGCCTTTGGCAACCGTTTGTGATGGTTGCAGCGCCCTGAGATCATGTGGTCACCATTTGTGACCTGGGCAGCTGGTTTCTGACAACCAAAGTCAAAGGGAGAAGCTGGCAGGAAGGTTGCCAATTGCAACCATGGGATGTCTTACTTAACGCTCTCTGTCCTTAATGATCAATTTTCTGGTCCTAACTGTGATTGTAAGCTGAGGACTACAGGTAGCCCTCGATTTACAACAGTTTATTTAGTGACCGTTCAAACTTAACAACAGCACTGAAAAAAGTGACTTATGGATGTCTTTTCACACTGACGACCTTTGAAGCATCCCCATGATTACGTGCTCAAAATTCAAATCCTTAGCAACTGACTCATACTTACGACGGTCGCAGTGTCCCAAAGTCACACGATCCCCTTTTGCGACCTTCTGACAAGCAAAGCTTAACAGCCATATTCCTAACAACAAGTGCAGTGACTCATTGCATAACCGTGCACGGTTGTAAACTGGGGCAAAACTCGCTTAACAAATGTCTCTCTTAGCAAGAGAAATTTTGGGCTCAATTGCAGTCGTAAGTCGAGGACTGCCTGCATCTGAATGACTGGATGTAGAGGAGGCTGAATTCTTTTTGAACAAATGTTCTGAAACACTCACTGATGGTTATTTGTTAAACAACAACAACAACCATTTGTTCTAAAAGTAAGTTGTCTATCCCTCTTTAAGTGTGCCTGTGCATTTCTAAAAAAGGAATCACAAAATAATTTGGCAAATTTGAGGCCAAGGAAGTCACAAATGTTACCCATGGAGAGCCTCACTTGTGTCTGTTTTTCCATTTTGCAGTGAAAAAATTCACTGGTTGGACTTTGTTCTGTGTGATGAGTTTTCAAGTTTTTGAAAAAAGCCACTGATTTCCTTTGCTTATGCCTATTAAATATGAGTGTTACTGTAGTCCAGTGGTTCTCAACCTGTGGGTCGGGACCCCATTTGGGGTCAAACGACCATTTCACGGGGGTCGCCAAACAAGGCTGTCCGCCATTTTTTCCCCTTTTCTTTGGCCACGCCCCTGGCACCCGGTGATGTATAAGTGGTTGGGGGTCACCACAACATGGGGAACTGTATTATGGGGTCGCGGCATTAGAAAGGTTGAGAACCACTGCTGTAGTCCAACTCCAAGGAGAAAGAGTAGACTGAAGGTCTATGCCAGACTGAACAAAAAGTTAGAATTAAGTTTTTTATTAACTTTCAAACTTTAGTGACTGTTCAAAGTTACATCATTGAAGAAAGTGACTTACAACAACCAGCATATATTTATGATGGTTGCAAGGTCCCAGGATCACCTGATCACCATTTCTAATCTTGCCAACTGGTTTCCAACAAGCAAAGTCAATGGGGAAAGCCAAATTTGCTTAACAATTGTGTGATTCACTTAACAACTGCAGTGATTCACCAACAACTGTTGCAAAAAGCTCATAAAAGCCGAGGTGGCGCAGCAGTTAGAGTGCAGTACTGCAGGCCACTTTAGCTGACTGTGTTCAGCAGGTCAGCGGTTCAAATCTCACCGGCTCAAGGTTGACTCAGCCTTCCATCCTTCCGGGGTAGGTCAAATGAGGACCCAGATTGTTGGGGGCAATGTAAATATATATATACGTTGCTTACTGGTGTACACCGCTTAGAGAGTGCTTGCACTTAAAGCGGTATATAAGTCTCATAAATAAATAAAATAAATAAATAAATAAAATCAGGCCCCTTAATAACCATCTTGCTTAGCCACAGAAATTCTGGTCCCAATAGATAGAGGCACATTTTTATTCCGTCCCCTTATATACCTCTAAACAAAAGTGCAGGGATCACATTTTAGAATTAAAAGTTCGGGGGGGGGGGGGAAATCACACCTTATACTCCAGAATAAAATACTAGAAAAGAATATGGAATAGAATATTCTTTATTGGCCAAGTGTGATTGAACACACAAGGAATTTGTCTCCGTAATATAATCCTCCTAATTATATAAATTTATTTTATATAAGTTATAAACTAAATTATACAAATGATTTAATTATTCCAATTAATTTATAATTAATATTTCAATTAATTTATTTGATAATCAATACCGTACTTTTCGGCGTGTAAGGCGACCCGGTGTATAAGACTACCCCCGACTTCGGCGCAATTTCCATGCCTAGAAAGTCGTCTTATCCGCCGGAAACTACTGTAATTTCCAGCATATAAGACGACTCAGCGTATAAGACGAACCCGTGCTTTAGAAAGTCATCTTATACGCCGGAAAATACGGTATATAAATTATTATGTAAATTCAATTAAATAATATATAAATTATTACATATTTTTATCACAACATTTTATTTCATTTTATTTAATAATAGAAAGGGAATGCGGGCACAGGTTCGAAACTTACCTTTATTCTCCAGGACTTCGATTTTCTCTTGACCCAGAACCAGAAACCCTAAAGGGAGAAGGCAAAAAATCAAGAAATTTCTCTTTAAGATTTGGAGCAGGGCTTGGCAAGCCGCCATGGTGTATCCTTGAATATCCCACAAGCCTTTTCCTACGGCTGCTGAAGCTTCTTGCGGCTCAAAATAGGGGTACAGCTTCTTACACAACCTCCAAAAACACAGTTGTTTTTCCAGACTCTGCTCTGGAAAGACCCCCTCCGCAGAAGTTACAAGCCGAAATGCTGCCACTCAATTTTGCCCATTGTCCACTTCTGATCCAATGAGGCTGGGCTTGCCCTGGAGGCAAAGAGAGGTCAGCACCGGCAAGACCTTTCCGCAAAAACTGTGATTCAGCGTTTAAAACCACATGCAGCATAAACAGGAAACTAGGGTTTGTGCAAAGTCATGGAGTTTCAACCGAAGCAGTGAAGCTCATTAACAAGAGTCATGAATATCTGACTTGCAACTCAAAGGACATTCCAGAGACATCCAGGAAACCACCCTGGGTATATTGAGCCAAACTATAAATCATGGTTTACAAGCTACCATGGCTGGCTTCACGAAAGATAAGTGTCAACCATGTGAACCATGTTATGGCCTGATGTTGGTGCTTGTTTGCTAGCTTTAGATTGCCCTGAATTCAAAACTCACTATCTGGAACACACACACACAACCAAAGAGCAGTTTGGTAAGAGCGGGAAATGGAAACAATAAATCGCGATTAATTTATATATATTTAAAATAACGAAGCTGCACTAAAATTCACTTTGATGAGTATTTCCCGAAATATCTACTGTACAGGTAGTCCTTGACTTACAAAAATTCATTTAATGACCATACAAACTTACAGTGGCGCTGAAAAAAGTAACCATTTTTCACAGTTACGACCATTGCAGCATCCCCGTGGTCACATGATCAGAATTCAGACGTTTGGCAACTGGCATGTACTTAGGACAGTTGCAGCGTCCCTGGGTCACGTGATCCCTTTTTGTGAGTTTCTGACAAGCAAAGTCAACGGAGAAGCCAGATTCACTTTGCCACTGTGTTTCTAACAATGGCAGTGATTCCCTTAACAAGGTCATAAAATGGGGCAAAATTCACTTAACAACCGTCTCGCTTAGCAATGGAAATTTTGGGCTCATTTGTGGTCATAAGTTGAAGACTACTTGATGCGTATTCACATATGTACGGCGTTCTGTACTGAAGCTAGCTGGAGGAACATTTGAAAATACAATTCAGTCCACTAATAGCGAGCGATCTGATGTTTTGTACGACAGATATGCAGCGATTCACTGTATGAAAAAGTCTCAAAAGTGTCCCCAAAACTTCTCGCTCCATCGCCCCCATATCGCCCCTTTTGTTCCTTTGCCCCCGCATCACCCCTTTTTGTTCCACCACCCCCCTGAAAACAAAATCGCCCCCTGGGGGGCAATATCGCCCAGGTTAAGAACCACTGATCTAAGCAAAACTGTAAGAATTGCACGGCAAAAATTCTGAAAATCCTCTCTCGAGTTTGCAAGTGGAGAAATGAGTCCAGGTTGGGTGGCCTGACCTGCAAATGCACCTGTGTTGTTATTCCTGAACTAATTAAACTCCTCCTCCAGGTAGCAGAGGGTGGAAGGTGTGGTAATCCACCTGACTTGTCGAGTTTCTTGTCCTCCTAGTTTCAGCTCTGCTTATTTTCCGCTCCCACGAACAAATGACTCAGTTCAGCTGTCTTGGGAGAAAGTCAGCTGAGTAGCCCAAGAGGCAGCAAAGCAGGCGGGTGGGCGGGCGGGCTGGCTGCCTGTGATTCCTCTGCATTTGATCTGCAAATGAAACTGGATTTTGAAACTTCTTTTCATCTCAAAGACATGACACCACCGGCAGAGGTGCAGCCTGGTGAGCCTCCTCCGCAGCTGATTTGGTCCTTGGTGGCTACCGATCAATTGGCAATTAAGGCACCTTTTGCCTGATTTGGCACTGCATCAAACTGATAGCATTCCCAACCAACAGATAGATAGATAGATAGATAGATAGATAGATAGATAGATAGATAGATAGATAGATAGATAGATAGATGGATGGATGGATGAATGGACAGATGGATGGATGGGAGAAATAGGTAGATAGATGATAGATAGATAGATAGATAGATAGATAGATAGATAGATAGATAGATAGACAGATAAATAGATGGATGAATGGACAGATGGATGGATGGGAGAGATAGGTAGATGATAGATAGATAGATAGATAGATAGATAGATAGATAGATAGATAGATAGATAGATAGATAGATAGATAAATGGATGGATAGATGGATGAATGGACGGATGGATGGATGGGAGAAATAGGTAGATAGATGATAGATAGATAGATAGATAGATAGATAGATAGATAGATAGATAGATAGATAGATGGATGGACAGATGGATGGATGGGAGAAATAGGTAGATAGATAGATAGATAGATAGATAGATAGATAGATAGATAGATAGATAGATAGATAGATAGATAGATAGATAGATGATAGATAGATGAATGGACAGATGGATGGATGAAATAGGTAGATAGATGATAGATAGATAGAAAGAGAGATAGATGATAGATAGATAGATAGATAGATAGATAGATGAATGAACAGATGGATGTATGAGATAGATAGATAGATAGATAGATAGATAGATAGATAGATAGATAGATAGATAGATAGATAGATAATCTTTATTGTTATTTTTTACTGTGGGCACAATGGCACACATTAAAAATGAAATTTAGTTGCTTGCTCTCAAAGTGTACACATACATAACACACATTTAAACATACCATATACAACATATATATAGATCCACACCCTTACATATAAGTAACATACAAATATTAATTACTGTCCATCTTGCATACATAATGGAAGGAGGAAGCTTTAGAGTGCACAAGGTTAATACTATAAGGTTTAAGATGGGTGGACTTCCACACCCAGAATTCCCCAGCCAGAATGCTTCAAAATGGGTGGACTTCAACTCCCAGAATTCCCCAGTAACATGTTTTAAGGTAAATGGACTTTGACTCCCAGAATTCCCCAGCCAGAATGCTTCAAGACGGGTGGATTTCAACTCCCAGAATTTCCCAGTTAGCATGTTTTAAGAGGGATGGACTTCAACTCCCAGAATTCCCCAGCCAGAATCCTTGAAGGCAGGTAGACTACAACTCCCAGAATTCCACAGCAGCCATGCTGGCTGGAATATTCTGGGAGTGGAAGTCGACATGTCTTAAACTTGTCAACTTTGAGAACCACTTTTGCAGGGCTGAAACCCCAAACCTTGTCTATTGGTGAAATATTACATTTAAAAGAAGTGTATAAGAAGGTCCTTCTGCGTTCTGCTTTGCCTGTTCAATCCTGACATCATAGAGGAAATACAATCTCATAAACTGAAGACCTTCTCTGCTCCAAAGCACAGCCCTCCGGATGGGACACAACCCCATTCATGGGTTAAATGTCAAATGTTTCATAAGGCTCAGAGGTTTGGTGAGATTTCCAGTCAAGTAGGGTGTGAGCATCGAAATCTCACACGTTCAGGCAGTTTCGCAATACTTCAGGGAATCTGGTCCATCCTAAGAGATCATGCCATGGAAAGGATGACAGAAACCAAGTTTGTTTTACGGAGGCATCCTGGTTTTCCAAGGACCAACCAGCGTCTTCTGGAAGTCTACAAGCGGAACACAACCACTTGCCGCCCAGCCAGTAATCAGAGATAACTACATTCCTGAAGGATAGAAATTATTCATGACCTTAAACCAGGAAAGGGAGTTGCCGCTCTGTAAATTTACATTATATAAACTTCCTTATAATCCGGCACTACGGAAGGGACTTTGGAGGTCTTCTAGTCCAGCCCCCCGCTCAAGCAGGAGAACCTATACCATCTCAGACAAATGACTGTCCAGTCTCTTCTTAAAAACCTCCAGCGATGGAGCGCCCACGATTTCTGGAGGCAACTTCTGTTCCACTGGTTAATTGTTAATTGTTCTGTCAGGAAGTTTCTCCTTAATTCTAGGTTGCTTCTCTCCTTGATTAGTTTCCATCTGTTGCTTCTCGTCCTGCCTTCGGGTGCTTTGGTGAATAATGTGACCCCCTCTTCTTTGTCGCGGCCCCTCAAATACTGGAATAAATTTTATTCGGTTAAATAATAAATCTCGGTTCAGACTCTAATGTTGCTTTAATTTAAAACGGACAAATTCCATTTTAAAGCCTGTGCTATAAAGAGACAAATGATGAAATATTGCAGTTTAACCTAGATGTTATTACTATTTTGTTGTACTTATTTCATTTTATAACTTGCCTGGGAGAACTGTTGATGGTTATCGTCAGACTGTATAATTGTCAGAGGAAAAAAGGAAGGAAAGAAAAAAGGGAGGGAGGGAAGGAGAGAGAGGGAGAGAGAGAGAGAGAAAGAGAGAGAGAACTTTTCTACCTTTGAATCCAGGGGCCATGGAGGCAGAGGTGGGAAAGGCTATTTATTAACCAGAGGGGCCTTCCGCAACCAGAGTTTGCACAAAGTTTGCCCTTCAGATTCCACAGGGCACAGACATCACCCACGGTTTGTGCAGATAAATTTTTCTGAGTCCATGAAAAAATTATAAATTGAATTGCAACAGACCTTTTAAGCAGAGTGCCAAACTGAAAATGCAACAGATATTTCTTTAAAAAAATATTCCGTTCATAAATCATACTAAGCCACATTTTGGAAGATCGTTGAACAAAGCATAGCTAGCTAAGCTTGCACATAAAACCATGTTTTATAAAGCTTGGTTTATTCTCCACGCTGCCTATATTAATAAAGATACTAAATCAGAAATGTATAAAACTATTGGAAAATTTCAGCTGTAGCCACTTCTGGGGAATTCTCTGCCAGCAGATAGGATGCTGGGACCCTCTAAAGCAGGATAAGTTTAGGATCACGTAGCTGATCATGCTAAAAGAAATGGAAAAAACTTACCAAGTATGACCTGGTAAATATAATATTTGATTCAG